GTAACCGATTGGGCGGTAAAGGGAGGGGATAAAGATGAAAACAGGTCTGAGGACCCAGTTATATGATCTGAGGCCTTAGAATCAATAATCCATGGTTTAAAGGAAGAAACAAGACATGTTGTACATGATTTTGCAAGAGTTGTAGTATTACCGAAAGAAGAAGAAGATAGACGAAGTTTTTCGTACTCTTCTTGGGTGATGGAAACCATTTCCTTCTCCTTCCCAGTACCTAAAGTAGTGAAGTCATCTCTTGTAGTACCACTATCTCCTTCTACAGTAGCATGATTGGCCCAAGTAGAAGGTGGGCCTTGCAGATCATAACAGTAGTTCATAGTGTGTCCTTCCCGTCCACAATAGCTGCATTCTTTGATCATTCCTCGACCAGCAATATTGACACCACAATCTCTAAAATTCCCATCTCTACCACCATTGAGACCTCTCACACCATGGTTACTACCTTTGGGATAGCTACTTCTACCACGTGAGCCACCTCTACCACCTCTGGTTGCAGCTAGGGCTGACTTCTCTAATACTGGAGAGCTATCTGTATTTGGACTAGTAACCCTTCTTACTCTGGAGAAGACTTCTGATAGTATAGGTATGTCACTGCTACCTAAAATCCAGGCACACACTGGTTCAAATTCAGACCTCAATCCGGAAAGTAAGCGTGCCACATCCAACTGATCTCTCTGTAGTTTTTGCACTTTGAAATCAATCGAAAGAGGTTGATACGAATCCAATTCATTCCGCAAACTCTTCAAGCAAGTGTAGTACTCTTCCACCCTCCTATCACCTTGCTGTAATTGAAAATACTCTTGATACAATTGATAGATTCTAGTTACATTATCTTGTCCAGAATACAACTGCTTAGCATGTTCCCAAATTTCTTTCGCAGTGTCAAAGAACATCAGGTTCACACTGATATGAGGTTCCATACTATTCCAAAGACATGCCATAATCTGTGCATTCTCCTGGATCCCATCATCATACCCTGCAGTTCCTGGGTCTAATTTGTTTTCTTTAATATATTTTACCTTTCCTCTTGCTGTCAAATTTACCTCCACCGACTTTGCCCATGGTACGTAGTTGGTACCATTAAGTTTAACCGATATCATTTGTACAGCCATGAAATCAGGTTGTACCATCACACTAGTTTTGTATTCACTACCAAAGGTAGCCATTAGTTACTTCTGCAACACTCTCCCTAGACGAACACCTTCCCAACTCAACAACAGCATTCAACCGACTTGACTATTGTTTTTAAAACTTCAACAGCATTGCCGCAACCCCTAAACCTGGAACATCAGCATAAAAACTTCTCCTACGAGTCAACCAACCTCCTGATTCCTAGAAAATAACCCACCAAACACATCAACCACAACCAACAATCAGCCGAACTTGACATTCACAGTCCCTCTTCGAACTGCCGAATAGAGGGAGTCTAAACCACCATCAAACAGTCGACCAACAATGCAGGTTGAGGCATAGAAGCCTCTAAACCTTCTGGGCGATCAGTCCTTTTAGGTTCTTCCCCTTCCTTTCTTCTCGTATTGGTATAAAAACTCAGCCATCCAGTTGCAGGCATCCTTCACTAATGCAGTCAGGAAAATCGATCAACCAGGCTCTGATACCATGTTATCAGGCCTGTATTTAATTAAATAAATAAAAAGAAGGCTCCTGGTATGAGCCTAGAAGGAGAGGAGATGAAGAAGAAGAGGAGAAGAAAGGTCGAACAGAATAGGGCTATACAGTTTCTATTGAAGAAGAGAACTGTTTAAATCATAATAAAAGGTAAAATTACACTATTACCCCTGTAAACAAATGCTTGAGAATAGAGACAAGAAAACACTGATTTAAAGAAGGGAAAAGACTAAAATAGCCCCAAAACAAAGCTGTATTTTAACTACATCAATATATCAAAAAGTGAAATAATGGCTGCTGGGGAGGTCTCAAACCTGGAGGTATGGGCAGAGGATTGGGGATGCAAAGTGGGAAAGCTCCCAATGAAATATCGCATGCCGTTGGGTGAAAACTACAAGTCCAAGGCTATTTGGGACCCCATCATAGAGAAAGTGAACAGAAAATTGGCTTCGTGGAAGACCAAATACTTATCCAAAGGGGGCAAAGTAACTTTAATCAAAAGTATATTGTCATCCTTCCTTGTTTTCTACTTGTCTCTATTCCCAATTCCGGCCAGGTGGGCAGCGGTGTTAGAAAAGAAGATGAGGGATTTTCTCTGGAGGGGTTGGAAGGAGTCAAAATGTCACTTAGTTAACTGGGGAAGAATCTGCAGCTACAAGAAGAATGGGGGTTTAGGGATCAGACCCGTGAAAACATCAGCACAGCCATGCGTGGTAAGTGGTTATTGGAGATTTAATGAACAACCAAATAGCCTGTGTAGAAGATTAATAGTGGCCAAATATGGGTTGAATAGAAGAGAATGGGATGCTGAAGAAGTCAGAACATCTCATGGATGCTTTGTATGGAAGGCAATTCAAAAAGTCCAACAACAGTTTATGAAGGGAATCAAATATGAGGTTTGAAATGGCCTCAGGGTGATGTTTTGGAAAGATTTTTGGTGCGGAGATGTCCCTTTCATGACTATGTTTCCTGATCTTTTTGAGATCTCGGTGAATAAGGATGCATCTGCAGCTGATTATTTGGAAAAACAAAATTGACAGTGTATATGGAATCCCCATTTTAGGAGAAATTTTGAATGACTGGGAGGTGACTTCTTTGGTAAGGTTATTTCAAGTATTGGATGAAGCAAAGGTAGAGGGAGTAGGAAGGGACAAGAGGAAATGGGTCTCAAGAAATCAAGAACCTTCTCTGTGAAATCCTTCTCCCAAAACCTGTCTAGGGGGGAGCCTTCTGACTTCCCTAGTGACAAAATTTGGATAAGATTGGTTCCCTCTAAGCTGGCTTTCTTTGTTTGGTCAGCAATTCTGGATAAGATTTTGACAAAAGATAATTTAGTCAGAAGAGGTTTAGAGGTGGAAGACTTGGGCTGCATCCTATGTGGTGGATCTGTGGAATCCTCCAGTCACTTACTCATTCACTGTAACTTCACCCATTGGATTTGGATGAGAGTGCCGAATCTGTTTGGTGTTAAGATGTGCTTCTCGGCTGATGTGAAATCATTTATAGCAGCTTGGGCACTTGGAGGTCTATCCAAGACGGGAAAGGTAGCATGGAGTATTCGTCCTGCAGCAGTTTTTTGGGCAATATGGGGTGAAAGAAACAGCAAATTATTTGAAGGAAGACAAGCTCCAAAAGAAGTTTATAACAGAATTTTGTGGATGATACACTCCTGGTTGGCAGCTAACCAATTATTCAAAAATAGGCATATCCGCATATGTCGTCCTTTTTTGATTCAGACTTCCTATTTGTAAGGACTAAGGAGAGTTTAGTTTTGTCAGTCTTTTGGTGGGTTGGAATTTTGTGGATATCAGATTTCCTACTGTACAGCTTCTCATTGTACAAAGGCTTTTTTGTGATCTGGCTTTATTTATTAATAAATTACTTGACCTTTCTCTCTCAAAAAAAAAAAATCCTGGATCATTGACTTTGGAGCTTCCAGCCATATATTTGGTAAGGTGAGATTGGCATAAATTACTTGACCTTTTTCTTTTCATATCAGTTATTATCTGGAAGGGATAAGGTGAGATTGGCATATGGTTCCTTCTCTTTTGTTGCTAGTTGAAGAATTATATCCCTTGCCTCTGGCCTTGTTCTCTCTAATATTTTACATGTAAAGTCGGTCCACAAAAAGTAAAAAATAAGAGTTATTATTTAGCCTATCCGATGTGTCCCACGACATCCCTATGCGAACTTGTGCAAACTCCATTGTGAGATTTTCTGCTGGATTTGAAACTTGAATATGGTCTCACAACAAAATTCACATATGAATCTTTAATCGCACTCGAATTCAAGTCTAGATTCGCAATTTTGCAGTTGGTTTCTCACTTGGATTCACACCTTTATTGTGGGATTCGCAAAAACACCTATAACACCCCTACGCAGACCACCTAGGTGCATGTGTTTTCAACTTAAACATTCAATTGGTATATGTATTTCAAAGTCTTGCCAAAGTTGGTAATGATAAACCTTTAACCAATTACTCTTAAGATTGATTGGAAACACTATACACATAATAACATCCTGTCTCTGCAAGAGTTTCAAAATTTTGCTCGATACTTTATGGCCATGTGCTGCTTTCTTGGTTTCATGAACGATCTCAAGAGTGAAACCCAAATTCTCATAAAATGCAACACTATTTCTATGTTCACATATGTGAAATTCTATTATGTCTCCATTACTTGAAACACTTCAGAATTTCATTAAGAGTTTTACTCAACCTCTTTCCATAATGGACAACACTGAATATATATATATATATATATGTTTGATGGGAGCTCTCAATTTTAGTGTTAACAGCCACGTAAAAGTAACTTCTTGTTGCCCATTAAACCCGAGACTAGCAATTTTTTCTAGTTTAGGTTTACCATTACGGTGATTACATAAATGGTTTCAGGCTTTCAGCCCCATCTCTTTCATTGTCATTCTTGCCAACACTCTAGGTAAACCCTTGGTCAAGGGATCAGCCAAGTTTTCACTTGAGCTAAAGCATCAAATCAATTATTAGACAATCTATCAATTGGAATGCCTTAGGAAGAAAACTCTATTACCATTTGTTGAATTTTGCAATGTTGGTTCACCTAATTCCTTGAAAATAATACAACTATTTTTCTGTTTGCACAAGTAATTCAGTTCTGAAGTTGGCTCTCCAAATTGTTAGTTCCATTTATTTTGAAGTTTTTCTATGAAATTGACCTTGAGAAGGGATTTTATCACCCAATCTGTTTGAATCTTAGGCTTATATATATGTTAAAATGCAAGCATATGGTATCCTAAGCTTATCTGCTTTCCATATTCCACAAGTAAATTTTTATCATCACTTTCCTACTCAGAAACTGAGAAGTTTGCTTGTTGAAATACAGGTGATCAGATGGTTTTTTTCATCCTAAACATTGTCGAGCTGATTGGAGTGTTATTGACCTTTGAACCATTTCTAGTGCAACCTGCACACAGAACACAGAATATAATAAAGCCTATGACAGCCCAGTTAAAAGCTACTCAAGATTGATTTCCCATACTTAATATTTTTTTTCGCTATTTTAGGACAATGTAGAATCATCATTATGCTATAATGGTAGCAGCATTTTACCATGCCTATGATATATGTCAGAACAATCTTTCCAGGTTCTAATATATGTTTGTATATGTAGATATGTAATCATTGAATGAGTACACAATTGATAGCACTATCTATCTATGCTATATCTAATAAGTAAACATTCTAGGATGGCTTTCGATGGGAGGGCCTCACGGCCTCTCCCAGTCCCCTTAGAATTACCTCAATAGGTGGCTCCTTACACACTAACTCTTCTCAAAAGAAACAACTCCTGTAAAGCGGCATGTCCAATCCTTGGATGCCTAATATGTAGACCTGTTCATGGGCCGGGCTCGGGCATGGCCTTTCCGAAAATTTGAATGGGCCCAGCCCGTGAACAGGTCTACTAATATGTGGTTCTCCTGTTCTCCATGGCTTCTTCTTCAGAAAAGAAACAACTCTGAAATGGCATGTCTTCCTAACCTTGTTTTCTTTCAATAAATCTCTTCTCCAACTTGAATGGATTTTGCTATTTCGCAAGCCTAGTTGTAGACTTGTAGTAATGCTCCTATAAAATTACTTAAAAGGTGAATCTGAGAAGGAATCACTATCGTGTGATCATCTGGGTGTCCATGGGGCCGTCAATGGACCGGGTTTTGCTTCGAACTGACTTGATCTAATGCGAGTAGTAGTTTAAGACACTATATGCCATATCTCTATAATCAACCATCGTACTAAAATATACCATAAAAGGATTACTTCTTACTTTTATGCAAGAACCAAACTATTTGATGTTTTTTTTTTCTTCAACTCAAATTAAAAAAGAAAAAGAAAAGTGGAAATACAATAAGGAGCATCAAACACCTCATAGTCTGGACTGCCCAATATCATGATAAGTACATATAAAGATGGGCAAAAAATCAACTTACACATGGATATTCTATGGAAACAACATAAATCTCAAAATTATAACACCAAAATTAAATTCAATGACTATAAATAAAAATAAAATATATATATATATATATATACACATGTAGAGAGAGAGAGAGAGAGAGAGAGACTACCAATGCACTTATGAAGTGTACGTTAAAAATGGCAAAAGAAAGAATTAAAATATGCATTTACACAAGCTAATATGAATTTAGTAAATACTAAAAAAAATACTATTTTTAGATGTCAACAAAGGGGATAGCTTAAAAACTATGAAATTTTAAACTTGTACTGTTTTAACTTTTAACAAGGCGTGCTGATGCAGTGCAATTTATAAGGTATTTGTCTTTCATACTGAACGCTTGGGTGCAAACTTTGACATTTGTGTTCTAGTAGTTAAGTGTTAATATTATTTACATTTTAAATTTGATAGGACTTTTTTTGGCTTCAAGGGGCTACAAAACAGGGGTAAGCCTATCCCCCCAACCTTGGTAACAACAGGATTCCGTCCCTAAGTCTTGGCTACAACCAGCTAAAGACCTTACCAATTGGCATCGCCAATTCAACAACACTATTGAATTGAAGGGAATTAATTTGAACTTAAGTAAATAGTTGAGTGATCTGTGTTTTTTGTAACTAGTCTTCATCTCAAATTCTATCATCTCTAAACTTTAGCATAATTTTTCCATTTTCTTCATTTTTTAGTTCTTTATTTTAAATACCCTTACTCATTTTAGTGCATGCACTTAATCGTACATTTCTTTACATTGGTATTGGCAATTGTAGTTTCATAATTCCTATTGTTCTTTGCAATTTCATGATTTTCTATTTCTCTTCCAGTCTTACTCATTTTGGCATATTATTATTATTGTACTCATGATCTCCCACTCATAAATCATAATGTTGGTATGTCCCATAGCCCTGATACATGGGACCCACAATGCAATGTGTATAAATATAGCAGTAGCATGTATAGACACTATTGGACGGACGGAATTGCTGGTTTGCCAATCAATGTAACGAAGCTTTTTAGAAAAGGGGTCAGATGGTAATTCTATCTCGTGACTCGTGAGCTACAAGCCATTCTCAAAGGGTTGAAGAATGCCAAGGAAAGGAATCTCCGTAGAATTGTTGTGGATTTTTTGAATGGAGCATGCCCTCCTCCTTGGAAAGCCTAGGATCTTATTGAGCAAATTAGATTCATCTCTCTCGGGTTTGACTGTATCTTTTGTTCATATTTACAGGGAGGGTAATAGGGCTGTTGATTTCCTTTTGAAACTTTTTGATATTTTATATGAGGCTGAATTGCCCCCTTTGTTCTTCCTGGCTGAGCTCTCTTGGATTGTTTGGGAGGATGCTCCGGGCCACCGGATTGTTCGTGTGTAAATTCTTTTTTTCTTCAAAACAGTAGCATGTACACTTGTAATTAGGGCTATCAATGGGTTGGTTCTTGACCCAATGGACCCAAACCGATTAGGTTCGTTATGGTTCCAAGATTTTGGTACCAATAAGTCAGCTATTTAGTTCTGGATCCAATTCAAAAATGTTTTGTTTGATTTTTTTTCATCATATTTGGTAAAGATGCAAACTGATTAGGTTCTACCATTATTGGGTGTCCGTGCGTGCTCCTTTTTTTATCCAAAATTCACGTTTGAACGTACATGAGTTTGATTACCCAAGAAAGGGAAAATAATTAAGGTTAAGTACACTGCAACCCAAATAATTAAACCTCTCTTGACTTTCTTATTATAAATACTAAAACCTCCACTACGGAATTATGTCAAACAGAATCATCAAAAAGTCTCTCTTGCCCTTTCATATTTTCAGAAAAAAAGTGACCCATAAACTTCCTAATTCCACACCTCGAGAACCACGGTAAGACCTCCGCTACTGGCTTCCTCGCATAAGCTGCTTAATTGCTATAATCTACCTATTACCCATCTTTCAACTGCCCTTTTTAAATTTCTCCACCCTCCCGTCACATTTTCGGAGGATGGAATTTTTTTACGGGTTTTTACTGTCCACCCGCTTAGTTATACCGTACGGTTGGAGGAAGTATCAGCTTGGAATTAATACTAATACACGAGAGTGGATATTAGAGTTTAGGGTGGAGGTATTTAAAATTCTGAATTCTTTATCAGAATTCTGAGGTAGAGCACAGTCTATTTATCCTATTTTTGCATTGCACTTGGGAGTTCAGAAAGTGAAAAATTCTTACATAAAGACTTTGAAAGGGTTGATTCAGTATTTTCAGTTACGTTGGATTTAGAGTGGATCGGGAGGGAAGGTGAGTAGTCCAAGGAATCCGTACGTGCCAGTGAAAAAAAATTAAAAGCTGAATGCTATGTTTTAATATTTTGGGCTGTTTTTTTTTTTTTTTTTGAATTTTGAGAGGGGAAATTGGTAAATGAGATTTTGGTTACTATTGATTAAGATACCTGTATTATTTTTTTAGATCATGTGGGTAAGTAACTTTTCCAAGTGAGAGATGCTACTAATACTTGGATGTAATAAAATTGTCCTTTTTAATAATGGATTTTATGGCTAAAATGGTCAATGGGACTTTGGAGTTTAGTTTTCATTAATTATATTTAAATTCTGCAATTTGGATTTAAAGTGTCAAATTAGATCTACCTTATTCTAGTACTAAAACGTTGGTCATTGTTGGTACTCGGATTAGCCGAGGGCAACAAAGTAAATTCACTCCCAAGCTTCGAAGGAAGGCCGAAGGCTTTAAGGGTTCGGAGGAGACAAGCCGAAGCTGACGACTGGAGGCCAAGGCAGATTGCTCCTTCGGATACTATAGAAGCCAAGGGCTTGTACTGAGAAGGGCGTCCGAAGAGGAACGACATACAGCTCCCGCGGTAGTGAATCTGCAAAGGGAGGAGGTGTCAGAGGCCTTGGGTGGGAACTCGAGGCGAAGACTCCGGCGGTCAAATTAGTATGTGCGCAAGGTAAGCAGTGAGTCTAGAGCCGAGGGGTCCAGACGAGGTCTTAGATAGCACTAAGTCCTTAGAGGAGAGAGCACTAGAGATCACAAAGGTTTCGAATCCTTTACCTTGTAGGGGGTGCCTTGTATTTATAGTCAGAGTTGCCAGGGGGTAGTTAGGCTCGAATGGTCCATAAGTGAGCTATACGAGGCCCAAGCGAGATGTTCTGCCAGAGCTACGCAGCACCTTGCGATTGGGTCCGCCTGGTCCGCGTCGGGTAACCCTGAGTGTCCTCATGGCGAACCTTTGTTGGCGCCTAGTCCCCCCACTCATGAGGCCGAGGTGGGGGTTCGAAAGGGGCTTTTGCTTCGGCCAAAAGGAGTGTCGATATTGGTAGGTGCCATCAGGCTTGTTCAGCGGAGTGTACCCTATAGTGGCGTCGCCTTCGTCTCACTTCTGCTTCGGCCCGATTTCAATTCATGGAAGAGAGGTGAAACTGTGGACACCTTGGCTTCAGCTATGGAGTTCGAGGTGGAGGGGGCCCCGGTGGAGCCGAGCCTGTGCCTTGTACTCACGCGACGACGGTCTGGGGCCGTGCGCGATAAGGGATTCGTGAGTTGGCACGCCAGAGTTGTGCCCGATACGGGTCTGGCACGAGGAGAACCTTCCGTAGGGGGGACGGGCGCTCTGGGCGAACCGGCCTACGCATCCACCGGGCTTCTGTAGGCTCGGCGGCGGGCAGCGTAGACAGAGGAGCAGGCAACCGAGGCCATGAAGCAGGCGACTGAAGCTGAGAAGCGGGTGGTCGAGGCCTTCATATAGTCGTTCGATTACCAGAAGGCCATGGCGGAGTATGCGTCTTCGTCATACCTAGACATCATCGAGGCCACGAAGAAGGTCGTCCTACAAGTGATGCCCGACTTTGACGTCGAGGGGTTGAAGGTGATTCCAGACTCTCCCAAAGGGTCTGTCATGGTCATAGATGTTGTTGAAGGCGCCAAAGACTTTGCCCTCCCCCCGGCTGGCGGCGAAACTTAGTGGGGTTCTTCTTGTTTTTTGTCTTTCTGTTTATTGTTCTTTCTTTTTTGATGTAAATGTGCTCGGCCGCTAAGGCCATAGAAATTTTTTTTTGTAAATGCTTTACAAGATGAATGAATGAATTCAGAGCAGTTTTTGTAGGGTGTTCTCTCCTTCTTCTTTCTCTTCTTCTCTTTTCTTTTTTACCGAGAGGTCCCTGCCCCTCCCAACGAAGAGATCACCATT